GGGCATGTGGCCTGGTATGGCAGGGAGGGGGGTGCTTGCTTGTCCTCCCCCTTTCCTGCCAGGCCTGTGCTCGGATCAAGTGTCTGGTTAGGAATTTTAGGGGGACCCCACGTATTCCCCCCCCCCATTTTTGGGGGTGGGGTTCCTCCTTAAAATTCCTACCAGGCCTTAAGGACCTGGTATGACTTTGAGGGGAACCCCACATGCTTTTTTTTGGTTCTTTTTTAAAATGGGGTCCCTCCTAAAATTCCTACCAGACCTTAAGGGTCTAGTATAACTTTTGGGGGGAACCCCACACTTTTTTTATCTCTTTATTTAAATGGTTTCCCTCCTAACATTCCTACCAGACCTAAATGGTCTGTTATTGTTTGGGAGGGGAGAACCGCATGCTTTTTTTGTTCTTTCTTTATAAATGTCAATTTTGCTGCAGCAGGTTCTATACATCGTACAGATTTGCCCTTTTACAGTCAGTTTAAGGGGACCCCCCCTCCCCCAGGCACGATATTTGAAGGAATTTTTCATTTTTATTGTTTCACTTTAAGCAATGTTAAAATCACTGCTCCTTTAAAAACTGTATTTTTAAAAAGTGTTTTTTTTTTATTGATACATGTCCCCCAGGGCAGTACCCGAATCCCCATACTTTTTTTATGGACAAAAACTTGCATATAAGCCTTCAAAATGGGGACATTTGATTTTGAGTTCTGGTCCCAGAGACTTTCATTGAGTTCAAAGTTCGAGTTTGAACTTTTTCCATGTTCTAAAGTTCGAACTCGAACCAAACTCAGGTGTGTTCTGCCCATCACTACCCCTCGCCTGGCTCTTGGCAACCAGGGACATCACTGGTTGCGAGGAGCAGAGAGGGGCGTGAGCCAGAGCATCCAAGGTTGATTGGAGCCAGACGGGTAGACGGGTACACATCTCCCCAGCCGGTTCTTAGCAACCAGAGCGGACAGGCAGCCAGCGGTCCGCCAAGCTCCTGGCAACCAATGGTGTCACTGCTTGCCAGGATCTGGCCGGGACGCCAGGGGCACAACTTTTTGTAGATATGCCTCTGGTGTCAAAAAGTGCTGAGGTTGGAGACAGCCAAGCACCTAGCATTTTCAGAACTCTTAAATAGCAGCCTCCAAATTTCCCTGAGTACAAGTTTCTTTTAGGCTGGATTAACACTGTTCTGGGCACATTGCAGTGCACATGGTAACTCACATGCATATGTGTGAATGTAAACTTATGGTTTCCCTTTATCTTTCACACTATGCTGCAGCACTTGGGGGATTTTTACACTGCATATGCATTTAGGTACTGGGCAGGGCCGGACATAATGAAGATCTATGGAGGATCTTTCCTGTCTGCAGCGTGGCTCTGTGCTGTCATCATATAGTCGTCAATAGCCCGCTATTTGCTAAGTTTTGGGTCACAGGAGGACCTAGTAAATGTCCTCCTGTGACTCTAAAGAGAACTATGGTGAACAAAAATTGTTAATAGTTCTCTCAATAGTTCTCTTTTAAATGGCAGCATGCATGCCAAAGTAAATACATTTATATAAATTGTATATATTTAAATCAAGTCATTTTCTTACACGCCAGGGCAGTAGTAGGCAACCTCAGCACTACAGCTGTTGTGAAACTTTAAGTCCCATAGGGCATTGCAACACTCTAACAGCCACAGGCATTACGCCCAAAATCAGAAGCATGATGGTATTTGTAGTTTCTCCGCAGCTGGTGTGCTGACCTTGTCTACCTATCCCTGACCTAGCGTAAATTTCAGGTCATGAGAATCAGTTCACTCACAATGGATCTCTCACAAGCTTCCAAAAAAAATCACATTTGAGCAACTAATTTTTTAACAATATTTATTATTTATTATTATTGGTATTTATATAGTACAAACAATTTATGCAGCGCTTTACACTACTGAGTTATCCATACCAGTGCCATACTAAAAGAATATATTAACAGCAGCAAGTAATACCAAGATGTGCAAATGCACAAAGAGAATCTGGAACTAAGATATTACAACTCATGTTCTTCAAGAAGATGAACTAAATTGGACGTTTCTTGAGATCATATATTGTTTTATAAGAAATATTGTTGTAGTTACCTTACACTGGATGTGCTACATGCTACATAAAGAAAAAAAACTGTTTTATTTGAACTCTGTTACCTGTTACAAAAGTCATTAAACTCAGGTACCAACTGTTGAATTTGTTCTGTAGCAAAGCTCCCCTCTGTGCCCATGTTCATCCATTCCTGACCCCTTTTTAAAGGAGTATGGTTTTACCTCTTGTAAAGTCTTTACAATGTGTCTCTAGAGAAATGCTGGCTAAATCCGACACATTGCTGTCAGCCTCGTGTGCAGTAAGGACGCCAAAAAAAGTAACTGAGGGAAGAAAAATAAGGATGTTCCTCCAAGGGAAGGCAGTTACAATGGAGCTTGCCTTTAAGGGAAAAGCAGCAAAGCGTGTCACCTCCTTCTGAGATTCTGTGTCTCCCTGCTCCTCATCCAGCCTTGAATTACTTTATCTGCCTCGCTAGCTCTACCTCTCCCTGAGTTTCACATTTTCTTTCAGTGCCCCTGGTCTTTTTCTGTTTATCACATTTGTCTACTAATTTGCTTCAGTTAATGCAAGTTTGTCTTCATATGGGAAACTCACTGTCATCTTTCTATCGGCTCAGTGCCATCCTTAAAGTGTATTTCTACTTTCGCAGCCAAATTGGGTTAACACCTTTTTTTATATTTGTTACATGTTCTCATTTACATTGAATAGCTTAAAACACATTTTAGAATTGCAGCTTCCATTTTAAATGCTTTTAAAAATCCTACCCAGATTCCTCCCTATGTAATGTTAAGGCTGTGGGAAGTTTTACTCTAATTAACCCTGTCTGTTCTGTGCCGGCAGATTTCATTATCAGTTGTGATCTAGATTTGAACACTGTGGGGTTAACTTACTAAAGGTAAATAAGCTGTTCACTTTGCAAGGGAATTTGCACTTTGCATGGTATGTTTCTCGCTTAGTTTAAGTAAATAAGGTGAAGCTCTGCTGACTTTCATCGTCCAATCATGTGAAGCAAAAATACAGTTTTTATAAGATTCCTTGCACGTGATAAGGCATTCTTTGTAAAGAGAACTTCAACCTCATTCACAAAGCTAAGGGGAAACTTCCCCTGCAAAGTGCAAATTCCCCTGCAAAGTGCTCAGAGTAAATCAACCCCTGTCCTAACAGTTAAAGACTTACAGGGTTATTTACAAAAGGATGAAGAGTTTGGAAAAGGCAGGAAGATGGAACAATTTAGGACAACATAGGTGAACTGGAAAACCTCTCCAATTCAGCTCACTTCCCAGTTGAGCTATGTTGTCCTAGATTGTTCATCTCTCCTGCCTTCTCCAAAATCTTCACCCTTTTGTGAATAACCCTATTAGAATTATTGTATGTTAATGAGAAGAAGCTCAGTCTGAACCTTAGTTTGTCCCTCTACGTTCACTTTCGAACTGCTCAGAAGCGTGCAATCTGCACAATATCTATAATTAGGGATGAGCTCAGGACCCCAGCTCCTCTGAAAAAGGAAGTGCCATGGGCATGTCCAACCAATCAGTTGCAGTAGGGGCATTCCCAGCACTGCAGCTGCATGTAAACACAGGGGTGGGGTGATTGTGCTGATGTAATTGACCTTATATGGCTACATGCCTATATTTGGTAAATTACATGTACCCAACATGGCTATACTGTATGGCCATATTAGGTAAATGAACTGGGTCCTGCTCCTTTGCTTACAACAAGTTGTGAATGGGAAATTCCCCAGTTCAGAAGGGGCTCTTTCCGGGTTCAGAGGAACTCAGATACGGACCAGGTTCATTCCAAACCTGAGCTCATCCCTATTTATAGACCAATTACGACAAATTGCGAGTGAGAAATTTCCCACCGGTAGCTGATTGGGGGGGTACAGAGTTCAGAAGGGGCTCCTTCCATGTTCAGAGGAACTCAGATTCGGCCAGGTTCATTCCGAACCTGAGCTCATCCCTATTTATAGACCAGTTACGACAAGTTGCGAGTGGGGAATTCCCCACCAGTGGCTGATTGGGGGGCACGGAGTTCAGAAGGGTTGCTTCCGGGTTTAGAGGAAATCAGATTCGGACCAGGTTAATTCCAAACCTGAGCTCATCCCTATATAGTTACGACAAGTTGTGGGAAATTCCCCACCAGTAGCTGATTGAAGGCACGAAGTTCAGGAGGGGCTCTTTCCGGGTTCAGAGGAACTCAGATTCGGCCAGGTTCATTCCGAACCTGAGCTCATCCCTATTTATAGACAAGTTACAACAGGTTGCGAGTGGGAAATTTGCCACAAGTAGCTGATTGGGGGGCACGGCGTTCAAAAGGGGCTCCTTTCCATGTTCAGAGGAACTCAGATTCGGACCAGGCTCATTCCAAACCTGAGCTCATCCCTATTTATAAAGTTAAAATATATATTTTTTTAGGAATGCTGTGTAATTGGGAACACATACACATACAATGGGGTTTTCTCAAATGTAAAATCAAAAGTCGAACTACACTTTAAATTCTGGTGTATGCTATCAATCACTTGTTCTCATTTGTGCTTATTCCCTTGTCTTTGTTACACTCCACGCATCAGCCTCAGTTACATCCTTGTGATGAGGATTACAGTAGGGTCGGCACAGCCAGTGCATCCACCCTCCCTCCAGCAGCTCCACCGTTATCTCCTACTGTCAGATCAGCGCTACTGTATACGTTCCCACTCTACGAGTGAAAGGCACATCCCAAGGATTCCTGGTAATGGCACCTTGCTAGGTATAGACTGGGCGTGCTCCAGGAGTCTCTATGGCACAGGCGACACCCCTTAGATCCCAGTTCCCGAGAGAAGGGAGCACGGCACACCTTGGGAGGAGTGTGCTGCAAGTTTGTTACGTTCATCAGGTACTGTAAGCAGCTAAGCCCCGCACAAGGAAACTTCGCCTCCTTCGCACCGTGCCAAGACAGCATTGCCACTATGGGGAGGACCTGGAGAAGCCCGAGCGACCTGGACAGACGCTGTTCCACAAGAGAAGAAGGGGTAGAAGTAGGGAGGAAGAGGAGTGCCAGCCGTGCCAGCCGTGGAAGGTTCAGCGAGTCCTGGAAGAGAATAAGTTCCAGACAAGGATCTACCAAGCGATCTGGACTGGGGTCTCAGCAGCCCACGGTAGGGTCACCATTGCCTGTCATGTGTAGGAGTCGCTCCGCTCGCTGTCCATGGTGCTGAATTTGCTGAGCCGGAGACCGCTAGCTGTGCCTATGGCTACAGAACGCTTTATCTGTGCTGGCTGATTTGTTGTCTGCTTTCTGGTCACAGAGCCATTCTCTTGTATCAGATAGTCCACACCGAAAGCTTGCTGTCAGCTCACCCTGGCATGCAAAGAGTTACCAAGCCATGCTTATGGGCGACCAACAGGTTAACTTGCCAGCAGGCGAGTTGTAAGCACTTGAATAAGCAGCATAAAAAGGCACATGAATGCCTAAACAACAGGAGGTGGTGGGTGGGGGGAGTTATCAAACATTTACTACAGTTTGGTCCACTGATGAAAATAACATATTTTGGGAATCTGTTGTGTAAATGACAGGATGTGGAAACTGCCATGAATATGTAATGATGGTGGCATTTACCACCACAATGTTGTGTGGACTTGCCGCTTCTCTTCTGGAACATCTGGCTCAGCTAATGACATGCCTCAGCCAATCAGTACTATACTTTAACTGCATGGTTATTATGATATGCCGAGTCCTGATTAGTTATCATGGGTTACTGCACAATTCTTATCATTATTGCTCTCTGCTATACTGAGTCCTGATTGTTTGCCATGGGTTACTGCACATTCCATATATTTATTGCTCTTTGCTATACTGAGTACTGATAGATTGCCATGGGTTACTGCACATTCCATATTGCTAAAGATCTCCTCTATATTGAGCTCTGATTGGTTGCCATGGGTTACGGCACATTCCATATTGTTACTGCTCTCCTCTGTACTGAGCTCTGATTGGTTTCCATGGGTTACTCATTCCGTATCGTTATTGCTCTCCTCTATACTGAGCTCTGATTGGTTGCAACGGGTTATTGCACATTCCATATTGCTCTCTATACTGAGCTCTGATGGGTTGCAATGGGTTACTGCACATTCCATATCGTTATTGCTCTCCTCCATACTCAGCCCTGATTGGTTGCCATGGGTTACTGCACATTCCATATCGTTATTGCTCTCCTCCGTACTCAGCCCTGATTGGTTGCCATGGGTTACTGCACATTCCATATTGCTCTCTATACTGAGCTCTGATTGGTTGCCATGGGTTACTGCACATTCCATAGCGTTACTGCTCTTCGATTTTAAATATGCCTGTAAGTGTGTGGTCTAGTTGAAAATATCAACTGGTCCAGGAAGTGTGTTTATTTTGATATTGGATGTGTTGTGTTTCTAGATATACACTGGGATATTGGTTTGTTTTCTCCGTGACTAGGTAATTCACAAGGGAACCTCAATTAAGACATATATTCCTAGTTACCATGTACAACAAACTGATTGCACTTTTACATATTCAGAAATACATCTGCCAGGCCATGTGTATAATGCATTTTATTACATTATGCTCGTTATGTTACATTATATGCTATCTCAATACCTGTAATCAATCAATAAATCAATAAATAGATACAAAATAAATATACATGCCTATATTTTGCTATTTTAAAGAAAATGATCTGTTACTGTATTAGACAATAAAGAAAATTAACATTAACAGGGTCTGAAAGAAGCTACCCCTCATTAGTGTTAAGAGGGGACCTGTTCCTTTCATCCTTAGTATGGTGCGATGCCTAATATTTTTAGGTATAGTTACTGCCCAAGGTTTACTGAGATTGGGATATGTCTAATTCGATGATGGCAGCCAACACATTGTTGCCATGCAGCAACATAAATGATTTATCAGTATAAAATATTATATATAGGGGGCACATACATCACTGTTTGGCCAACTTAGGCATAGCAGGCATAGTTTTCTGGAGTTTACCAGTGTAGATTTGCATTTTGCACCATGTTTATGAAACGATGGACAGTTGTCAACAAAACTGAACAGTTGTGTTTTCAAAAATTACCTCCCTTACAGCATGGGAATCCATTTTAGTAATGGAGGGCCGAACTATTTCAGCAAAGATCATTCTGTAAGGAGCAAAAAAGTAGCATCATCTTCAAAACCGACTTCCATTAAATATTGGTCTACATTATACCAACTAATTTGTTATTGTTAATAATTTTTTAACTGTAAACAATCAAAAGATGCTTCTTTGCTTCAATGGTAATTCAATTGAGAGATTTCATAGTTACATAGTTACATAGTATTTGAGGTTGAATAAAGACATTAGTCCATCAAGTCCAACCTATTAGGATCTCATTCTTAGGAGTATTTGTACCCCTGTATATTACGGTCCCTTAGGAAATCGTCCAAAAGTGTTTTGAACAATTCCACATTCTTTGCTGAAATCACCGCCGGTGGCAGTGAGTTCCAGACCCTAACCGCTCTAACTGTGAAGAACCCCCTTCGCCCCTAGTGCTGGAATTGTTTTTCCACCAATTTTAGGTGGTGGCCTCTAGTTTTTGTAATGGAGTTAATTTTAAATAGTTTATAGCTAATGTTGCTGCCACCATTGAACATCTTGTACATGGACATCATATCCCCCCTTAATCTCCTCACCTCCAATGTGAACATGTTTAAATTTAGTAGCCTTGTCTCGTAGCTCTGGTCCTCCATACCCCTAATTAGTTTGGTTGCCCTCCGCTGGACTTTTTCCAACTCAAGGACATCTTTTCTTAGTACTGGTGACCAGAACTGGACCGCGTACTCCAGATGAGGTCGAACCAATGATCTATAAAGTGGCAAAATTATAGACTTGTCCCTGCAATACATCCCCTTTTTAATACAGGACAAAACCCTGCTAGCTTTGTTTACAGCAGCCTGGCACTGCAAACTACCTTTCAGTTTGTGGTCTACAATGACCCCCAAATCCTTCTCCATTTCTGACTTCCCCAGCGGCATACCCATAATTGTATAACCCATTTGTTTATTTTTAATTCCAAAGTGCATTACTTTGCATTTATCGACATTAAACCTCATCTGCCACATTAATGCCCACTCCCCTATTTTATCCAGGTCCTCCTGTAATGTTATAGTGTCTAAGTCCGTGTCTATTACCCTCCCAATTTTGGTATCATCCGCAAACACGGAAATATAGCTGTTAACACCCTCCCCGATGTCATTAATAAATAAGTTGAACAATATGGGACCCAGCACAGAACCCTGAGGCACACCGCTCATTACACTAGCCCAGTCTGAAAAGGTGCCATTTACAGATACCCTCTGGACACGTTCCCGTAGCCAGTTCTCTATCCACGTACACACCACTTCGTCTATGCCCATAGCTCTCAGCTTGTGTAGCAAGCGTTTGTGTGGTACCGTATCAAAAGCAATATTTCCATACCCTCGTGTTTGGCTCACTGCTTTTCCAGAGCTGGGCTTGAAGACAAATTGCAGGCAACACCTGCAATAGGGTTTTTATTGCTGGTGAGTTACTGGCAATCATTTTTGAGGTATATAAAAGACAAAACTGGGCATTGGCATAGTGCAGTAGTTAATTTAAAGCCCACCACCCATATAAATCAGCTAAACACATTCCTCAAACCTCCAGTATAAGTCAGGTAAACATATTCCAGGTGCATCAAAACTAGACATACACTGATACCGTTTTCCCGGTATTAAGTACTAGTGCCGATATTTATATTTCGGTACTCACCGATACCAAGTACCGATACAGGTACTTCCGCTAGCATGGAGCTGGCTTCCCTGGAAATCGAGAAGCCAGGTGGCAGATAATGACACCGCCGGCTTGCAAGCCAATTAGCATCGGAGGGCCAAACAGCATGGAGCTGGCTTCCCGGCCAATCAGGAAGCCAGGAGATGATAAATACTCAGTATCGGCACCGATACTGATACTAGTATCGGTATCGATACATCCCTAATGAAAACGATAGGTGTTTATTGTCTTACAGTTTGTTTTCTTTTAAAGCACCAACAGCCAGAGTAGAAAAGTCTGTTCCCTGCCAATAACTTTGGGAAATTGGGAACTGTTGTGGAGTAGCAGCGTTCTCATTGAAGTTGTCCAACACGCCTGCCACTGAATCAGATTTATTAATCAGCATGGCTCATGCTCCCCACTGACTGGAGAGATCTTTCTCTGCTGCTGGCTTTGACTCAAAAGGGTAGGTCAGACCTCTGCAAAGAAATCGCTGCTTCCTCACAGAGGACATGGATTCCACTCTGCAACATACTGGCAGGACACAGTTTTTTTTTTAGGTTGTGGTTGCTTTTTAAAGAAAATAAAAAGGAAGACTTTTGTTGTGATTCACCCAAAATGTATTTAGCTAATTTAAACCAAAGTGTTCAATTGTGGTTTTTCAGAATGAAAGCCCAAAGTGGTATTTCACTTTACAAATCTTTTCAGGAATCTACCTGTCTAAAGGAATTCTCCAATGGAATCTCTATATATGGCAATGATAAATGATCTGTCCTCAGGACAGGACATGCAGCAGGGACACCAGGGAGCCCTCTCTCCTCTCCACTGGTGTGTGCTTGTGCCTTTTCTGGTCAGAGTATAGTCAGAGTCCCATCAGATTAGCCAGCTTTTTTTTTCCAGGAATGCACATTTTGCTAGGGCCACTTTTTTAAGACATTCCAGTTCATACGCCTGATAAAGGGAAACATCCTCAATATGCTGCCCTAGCAATCTTGTAAGAAAGGAAGAGGCAAAGACTCTGTTGGTTCTATATTTAATTTATACTACCCAGATCTATCACCTCCAAGTGGTCTGAGACCTCACCCCTATTCAGTCATAGTATTCCAATTAAGTACAAGAGGTAGTAGTGGGGTTTTAAGAGGCGTCAGACATTCATTGATATTTCAATTAATTTATTATCAAAGGTTGTTTTTAAAGAATATTAAGATAAGATTAAAAAAACTGTTCTAGCAATCCTAGCCTATGTGGTCTAAGTGCATTGACCCCTGAAAGTTTATTTTATTGTATCAACCATTGTATAGGTAAAGAAATGCCAGGACTAATGTTTAGATGTTCATAATAAAGGTTGATGCTCCTGCTTGGCA